AAAGCCTTGTTCAAAACACATTTTTTATATATTTAATCAACAAACACTTCATTACATGTCATGATTACTTTTTCTTATAAGTCATAATAACATATGTTGCTATTTAATCAACAACCATTTATTTTCCAGCTATTATTATGTCAAAATACAGTTTTCAGTTTAGTTTTTATTATTTTAAAACAATGTTTTCATCCAGTAATTATGATTGTAACATTTCACATAAAACTATTCCGTGATCTATGCTTGCAATATTTCACATTGAACTAGGGTGCTCAAAGTTTCAGTAAATCATTACATTTGTACCGCTCAGGGTGTGTGTGTGTTAAAACCTATAGCTCCATTTTCCAAACACATTTTGTTTAACTAGGCTGGATACATCTGCGCCAATGTTCCTCCAACCGGCCTTATCTTGACTTTTCTGCTGCTTCTGAGGCCTAAATAACCTTGGCCATCTGCCCTTCTGTTGCTGTACTTGGAACATTAGTGGTCCCAACCATCTGCTGTACCCAAAATTCCATCTTTTCTTAGAAACTTTCCTTTGCAAAGGCTGCTCTTTTAGGGTTATTCATTAACAGTCTACTCCTGCAAAGGTGCACTATCTAATCAGCCTTATTTGTACAGCTGTACTGTTCGCAGCTCAGACCCTTCCATGTTAAAAATGATTAGACCTTTAAACTAAGCTCTTTATTCAATGTAAAAGATGACATGCATACAACTTTAATTATATAACTTTAATCATAGGTGCGCACTAATTTCTCTACACCGCACCGCACCGTAGTCAAAAGGGCGGTGTGAGAGGGGGTGTGCGGGAGTTGCGGTCTCTGTCGGCTCGGTAACCGCACCGGAGCCAGTGTGAGCAAGGGGTCACTGGTCCAAAGGGCCCAGAAGTGAAATGGTACAAGCCAAATGGCTTTGTAAAAGCTGGCAGTTATTCTTTTGGTTCTCGTACCAAGGAGAGTTGCCAATATCCTTTGCTCACGTTAAGAGTGCTGATGAAATTTGAATTGTTAAGATTCTTCAACAACTCATCTATTTTTGGCATTGGAAATAATTGCCACGTTGGCGTTGAGTTAAGATATCTGAAGTCAAAACAGAACCCCAGAAAACCATCGTTTTTTTAAAACCAAAACAATGGGACTATACCGTACTACTCACTTGCAGAAAACTCAAACCTCCAGATTGAAGTCAGGCAGCAGATGTTCAGGGATCTGATATGACCTTTAGCGTGGCGTAGTATCATTTTTTAAGGTGAACTTTATTTTCAACCAAAGTAGTAAAATCTGGTATCTCTGTAAAAAGGTCTGGGTTATAGGTTAATGACTGAACTCCTCACCATAGGAAGCCAGAACTAGGTTGATCATTGATTTTCAGTTTCAAATTTCTCAGAAAGTCAAACAACTGAGCTTTTAAAGCTCAGAGAAATCAGCCATATTTAAACACAGTTACCATAGCAGCTACATCTGTGATTAGATAGGAACATCCCCCCTGTGGACAGGAGTCCCTGAATCCTGTCCGTTTGTTGTTCTACAGAAAGTGACTTAATGCTTCCCGGTTCTTTCACAGAGTGGACCAGCAGAACTCAGAGGTTCCCAGGGGTCCATCTGCCCAGCAGCACCAAATTCAACTGGACTCCACATTTATGGTCTGTATTTACTACAACTCATTTCCCTTAGTTCCCTTCACAGTTATCCCCATGCTGCTCTCAGAGACCAGAGGAGCCAGTCTGTCCAACAATAATTAATATATTAATATATTGTTTTGTTCCAGCTGCTGGAGGAAAACATTGTTACTTTTGTGAAGAAGGAGCTGAAGAAGATCCAGAAGATTCTTAGTCCAGATCACCCAGAAAGCTCAGAGGATATTTGGGAGAACGAGGATGAGTTAGAAGCTGAGGATAAAGAGCTGAGCAGCTGCAGAGAAGCTTTGATGAAAATTACTCTGAAGTTCCTGAGGAAGATGAAGCAGGAGGAGCTGGCTGAGCATCTGCAGAGCAGTAAGAGGATTTCTAATAAAAAAAAACCTGATGCCAAAAGGAACTTGTTTCATTAAGAAGAGACAAGCTATCTATCTTTTGACTAATCTATTAATTGATTCTTTTTCAATGCTAATTATGTTCTTCCATTTTCAGAACATTTGTCCTTAGTTTGTCAGCATAAACTTAAAGCTAACTTGAAGAAGAGATTCCAGTCTGTTTTTGAGGGGATCGGTAAAGCAGGAAGTTCAACCCTTCTGAGCCAGATCTATTCGGAGCTTTACATCACAGAGGCAGGGGCTGGAGAGGTCAATGATGAACATGAGGTCAGACAGATTGATGCAGCATCCAGGAAACCAAACAGACCAGAAACAACAATCAGACAAGAAGACATTTTTAAAGACCTACCAGGAAGAGATCAACCAATCAGAACAGTGATCACTAAGGGAGTGGCTGGCATTGGGAAAACAGTCTTAACCCAGAAGTTCACTCTGGACTGGGCTGAAGGCAAAGCCCACC